AAAAAAAAAAAATAAAACATTTACCATTATACCAGTGCCAAAAATTAAGGTTAAAGGGGGGGAGGATGATAAGGATTAGGCTAGGGTAATATAATTTCATTTTTTAAAAATATGTAGGAATTATGGCTAACTGAAATGTTGAGGGTTATATCTGGTTCTGGGGGGAAGGTAGGAGAATGTAGTACACATAGTATAACAACTTGAACGATTACTACTGAAACTGATAGTGTCCCGAAGTCTTTCTTTTTTGTTCATTAAATTAATTTAAAAATTTTTCAAAATTAATTTCATGTTTTTTCAAAGTAATATGTGTACATAATTTAAAAAGTCAACTACATAAAACCTCCCTAGTTGACCACCTCCCTACATTGACCACCTCCTTAAGTTGACCTAATTTTATAGACTAGACATGAACCACATGTTCTTATCAGTACAGTAGGCCTTGTTACTTATGTTGACCAGTTTGTTACAGTTCTTGGGTGGTCAACTTACAGAGGTTCTACTGTATTATTAAAGCACTTATAAGAAAAAATAGTACACTATGCATCCCTTCTAAATTCCCATTCTTGCTTCCCAGGAGCAAGTACTTTTAGCTGTTCCTCAGATAGAAATCTGTATTTCAAACTAATATGTTTATCTATACTGCTGTTTCTCAATTAGTTCTTTTGCACTACCTGTTACAGTAGTTGAGGATTCAGCTCTCTTATTAGCCATTCCTATAAACATCTTTCCCACAAAAATAGTAATCATGATTTTGGACCTATTCAGGATTCATACTATTACAATTATATAAATAGCATTTATTGCACAGTCAAGTTGGTTATGTCATGATTCTGTTTCTTCTTTTTTTCAACATTATATTTTATCTGGAGTTAATAATTGCCTCACTTTTTTTGTTGGTTTAATTTCCTTTGTATAATCTTTAACTCTTAATGTACCCTCTAGCAGCCTTTCAATGAAGTCACATACTACATAATGTTTTGGTCAATAACCGACTGCATATATGGAGGTGGTCTCCTAAGATTATAATGAAGCTGAAAAATTCTTTTCACCATAGTGACAAATTGATGATCTGGACTCTGTGTAGGCCTTGGCTAAGGTATGTGTTTGTGTCTTAGTTATTAGTTAGCATTAAATGAGTTTAAAAAGTAAAAAAGAGAGCCAGACACAGTGGCTCACACCTGTAATCCTAGCACTCTGGGAGGCTAAGGTGGATGGATCGCTTGAGCTCAGGAGTTCAAGACCAGCCTGCACAAAAGCAAGACCTCATCTCTACTGGAAAAAAATAGAGAAGAAAAAATCAGGCATTGTGACAGGCACCTGTAATCCCAGCTACTCAAGAGGATCACTTGAGCCCAAGAGTTTGAAGTTGCTGTGAACTAGGATACCAGGTCACTCTACCTAAGGGCATAGAGTAAGACTCTGTCTCAAAAAAAAAAAGTAAAAGCAGGGCAGTGCCTGTGGTTCAGAGGAATAGGGCGCGGACCCCACATGCTGGTGAGTTCAGACCCAGCCCCGGCCAAAAACTTCAAAAAAAAAAAAAAAAAAAGGTAAAAGAGAAAACAAAACAAACAAAAAATCCCAGAACTGGGTGGCGCCTGTGGCTCAAAGGAGTAGGGCACCGGCCTCATAGGCCGAAGGTGGCTGTTTCAAACCCAGCCGCAGCCAAAAACAGAACTTTTTTTTTTCACAGACAGAGTTTTACTTGGTCGCCCTCGATAGAGTGCTGTGGTGTCACAGTTCACAGCAAACTCCAGCTCTTGGGCTTAGGCAATTCTCTTGCCTCAGCCTCCTGTACCTGGGACTATAGGCACTGGCTACAACGCCAAGCTATTTTTTTGTTGCAATTTGGCCAGGGGTGGGTTTGAACCCACCACCCTTGGTATGTGGGGCCAGCGCCCTACTAACTGAGCCACAGGCGCCGCCCTGTCCCAGAACTTTTAAACTAGAAAAAATCTTATAGAATAAGGATTTAGGGGCAGCACCTGTGGCTCAGTGAGTAGGGCACCGGCCCTATATACCAAGGGTGGCAGGTTCAAACCCAGCCCTGGCCAAACTGCAACAAAAAATAGCTGGGCATTGTGGTGGGCACCTGTAGTCCCAGCTACTCAGGAGGCTGAGGCAAGAGAATCGCCTAACCCTAAGAGCTGGAAGTTGCTGTGAGCTGTGACACTACAGTGCTCTACCGAGGGCCACAAACTGAGACTCTGCTGCTAAACCGAAAAAAAAAAAAAAAAAGAGGAGCTGGCTGGCAGGTTTGAATCCAGCCCGGCCCGCCAAATAACAATGACAACTATAACCAAAAATTAGGTGGTGTTGTGGCAGGTGCCTGTAGTCCCAGCTACTTGGGAGGCTGAGGCAAGAGGATCACTTAAGCTCAAGAGTTTGAGGTTGCTGTGAGCTGTGATGCCATGGCACTCTACCCAGGACGACAGCTTGAGACTCTGTCTCAAAAAGAAAAATAAATAAATAAGAAGAAAGAAAATAATTTTGTACAGCTGGACAATGTGCATATGATTTAATCTAAGTATTATTACCAAAGAGTAAAAAGCTAAAAAAAAGTAAAAGTTCATGAACTAAAAAAGTTATAGTAAGCTACATTTAATTTATTATTGAAGAAATAAAACTATTTTTTTAGTGTAGCCTAAGTGTACATTGTTTATATAAAGTCCATGGCAGTGTCCAGTAATGACCTAGGTCTTCACATTCACTCAACACTCACTTGCTACTTACCAGAGCAACTTCTAGTCCCACAAGCTCCATTCATGGTAAGGGCCTCATACTGGTGTATCCTTTTAAAAATCTTTTATACTGGGGTGGTGCCTGTGGCTCAAAGGAGTAAGGTGCCAGCCCCATATGCTGGAGGTGGCAGGTTCAGACCCAGCCCTGGCCAAAAACTGCAAAAAAAAAAAAAAATCTTTTGTACTGTATTTTTATTATACCTTTCCTATGTTTAGGAAAATGATTACCCTGTGTTCCACTTGCCTATAGTACTCAGTGTAGTAAACGCTGTACAGGTTTGTAGCCCAGGAGCTGATAGGCTACACCAAATAGCCTAAGTGCATCGTAAGCTGCACCATCTAGGTTTGTGCAAGTACATTCTGTGATATTTCCATAATAAAGTGTCTAATGATGCATTTCTCAGAACTTGTCCCTGTTATTAAGTGGCATATGACTATATTTTCAGTGCCTTCTTTCAAACCGAAGAATGCTATTTTTCAGTTTCATCTTTTTTCCTTTTTTTTTTTTTTTTTAAAGAGACTGGCTTTCATTCTGTAGCCCAGGCTGGAGTGCAGTGGTGTGATCATAGCTCTCTGTAACCTTGAACTCCTGGATCCAAGCAATTCTCTCACATCAGCCTCCTGAGTAGCTAGGACTTACAGATGCAAGCCATTGCACACAGCTATATATATATATATATATTTTTTTTTTTTACATATACATGTGTTTGTTAGATTTCCATTGTTTGCCTTCACAAAATTAAAAAGGCTTAAAATTTAATAACAATAACAATGTTTAAGATAGAACTAGAAACAAAACCTTGTAAAGAACAAACAAACATAAATACATTCAGAAAAGAAATCAAACAATTGCTGCATTGAAATATTACATAGCTGTATTTTTTTTTTTTTTTAATTTTTTTGTACAGAGAGGGTTTTGCTATGTTGCCTAAGCTGGTCTCAAACTCCTGGCTTCAAGCAGTCTTCTCATCTCAGTCTTCCAAAGTGCTAGGTTTATAGGTGTGAGCGACCATGCCCAGCCTCAGTTCCATTTTTTGGGGGGGGGGGGATGGCTACCTTCCACCACCTCCATGTTTTCGTTTTCCTTGGTGTATGAACACCTCTTCTAGTAGCTTCTTGAAAAAGGGTAAATGGGAAGAAAGTTTGGAGTCTTTTTATAATATGTCTAAAAAATTGTAATTCTGCACTCAGCCTTAATTGACAGTTTGGCTGAGGAGAAAATTCTAGGTTGACAATCATTTTTCTTCAGATTTTTGAAGACCATTGCGCTATTTTCTTCTGGGTTCCAATATAGCTGTTGAAAAACCTGATGCTGTTTTATTCCTGAGTCTTTGTAAGTGGTTTGTTTTCTTTCTTTGGAAATATTTAGGATCATCTCTTTATTTGTGAAATTTACTTCTGAAATTCCACAACAGTAACTTTTAAAAAATTCATTACTTTGGAATTCTCAGTTATGTCTTTCAGTCTGAAGACTCCTGTCTTTCAGTTATAGAAAATTATTTAATACTATTTCTTTGATAATTTATTCTTATTCTGGAACTCTTACTAGTCAAATATTGTATATTTTAGGCTGACACTCAGACTTTCTTTTCTTTTTTCTC